CGCGAGTTGCGCCCCCGGCGCCTCGCTTGCTCGCTCAACGCGGGAGATGCCATTGCGCCGAGCTGGCTGTTCACCTATAGAGGCCGGCTTGCCGGCGCTCGGGCAGGCTGAGAAGCCCTTGGACAGCAGCCAGAAGAAGCGGTTGGCGGGGCCACTGCTGTGGTGGACGTCCACCTGAAGAGGCATGGGAGCGGGGGGATGGGGTCCCTGTGTTTACCAGCATGTTTGAATCAGTTCCTGGTTACGGGGACTGGGGTTGCCTTGGGGGTTAATGTGCATGTGAGCGCTTTGTGGATGCACGCATGTGCGTTTGTGTTAAGACAGAGAGGGGCGGAGAGTACCAAGTTTGTGACAGGCTTGGTGCATGGCGGTTGCTGATATCATACGAATGAGGTTCGCGTCTTTGGCGGCGGACTCAGCTGCCAACCACGTAGCTCGAGTCTGAGCGTTTGAGCAGCAGCCCGCTGCCCCCCACCTCGCAATAGTTGAACAGCCCCACCGGCCGCAGCGGATTGGTGAGGCGCTCAGCCGCGACATTGACCAGCTGTGTGGGAGGGGCGGAAACGGGAGGTAGGCCAGGGGGGGAGGGCAGCACAGTAATTCTGGATGTGACGGCGGATCCAGGGAAAAAGGCGCGGTGGAAGCTGCAGTCGCAGAGCCAGGCAGCGCGCGAGCGCGGCTGGGGCACTGCAGTGCAGACGTGCGTCTTGTGCGGGCCCCGTGCGCCCTGCTGGCAGCATGCAGGGGTGCTGGCAGGCTGGACATAGGGCGCCGTGAAGGAGGCCGTTTGCACGCACGAATGCCTGTGCGCTCGCGCACACTGACACCTCCCTACACTCACATGGGCACACAGGCATGCGTGTGCACCCGCGCTCTCTCTCTCTCACACACACACACACAACACACACACACACACACACACACACACACACATACACACACAGGCATGCGGCCGAGCATGCACGAGCGCGCACGCGCGCACACACACACACACACACACACACACAAGCAACACACCTTCTGATCCAGCAATGGGCTCCAGCAGGAGAATGACGACTTGTCAGCCACCGGGTCCTTCATGTCCCGCACAAAGGGCTTGGGGCAGGTCTTGTTGCGCCACATGTCTCCACCCAGCAGGAATGCCCCCGCACCGGCGGGGCGCTTGCCCTTGCTGGCCGCGTAATCCATCACGCACACAGACATGATGTCTGCACATGCGGGCGCGGGCACGTGAGTCCTCCACACGCTCCCACTCATGTGACGGTGGAGGGTCGTTGCGCAAGTGGGGCGGGCATGAGCAGGCACTGCAACAAATCAGCGAGGGCTGCAAAAGCACGCCAGGGCGTTGCACGTATGTAAAAGTTCGCGCCAGTGGGCGCCAGGGCGGCGACCTGCCCCTCACACACACGCACGGCCAGCCCGTGGCTTCACCTGAGGTCGCCTCGTTGAGGCCGCCAAAGGAGTCAGTGTACGTGAGGCGCGCAGACGTACTGAGAGGTGAGGTGCGCGGGTTGGGGGACAGTAGGACATCATCAACCACCATCAACCACCATCAAGCGCCAGCACCCTGTGGCCGTGACCGCCGTGACCCAGATTAGGCGCACTGCAGCAGGGCCTGCGGCCTCACGAGGTTGGCGGCTGCTGCCCCGAGGTTGCAAGCAGGGTCCAGGTACCACTCACTCGGTGACGCCGTGGGTGATCTCGTGCGCGGCGATGTCCAGCGTGGTGAGGGGCCCGTACTTTTCGCACGCGGCCAAGTTGGAGGGGTCCCGGCTGGTGGGGAAAGGGCCGTGGATGAGGTGGGGCGGATGAGTAAGTGAGTGGCGATGGTTCAGAACACAAGGGAGTGGGCTGACAACGCACAGGGGCCCTGCCCCTGTACACCACCCAAGGCAGCTGTGTCACACCCGCGGCCCGCCCGGCCCCTACCTGCCGTCTCCGTAGTACATGGCATTCGTGTCCACTGCGCGTGGGGGTTGTGTGCGTGGTGGCGGTCGTTGGAGGAGCGGCCCGGGCCGCCGCCTGCCAGGCGCCCTGCAGCATTCAACGCACGGATTAAGACTGCCCACGAACGAATCAGAAGCAGTGCCACCAGGCAACAACTGCATCACCTTAACCACGCATGCAAAGCGCTGCTCGTGGCTGCACGTCCTGCCGCTGCGACCCTGCGCAAGCCGTGCCCCATCACGCTCGGCTCCGCAAGCGCCGCGCCTTGCACCTGGGCCCGTCCAAGCCCGCGGCCGCGCGGCCGGGCCTCATTTCCCGGGGCGCCACTCTGCCAAACGCGCGCGCGCGCCCACCGTCGAAAAAGGCGTTGTTGTACTTTGAGCCCACGTGGACGAAAGACTTCATGGGGGTGTCCTTGCCGTCGAATCCCCTGCGGCCGTGGACTGTCAAGTAGTACTCATAGACCTGCGAGGGCGCGCGTGGTGCAACAGCGTGGCGCAGCGACAAGTCTGGGTGCGAACATGGGTAAAACACTAGGGGGAACAGCGGACGAGGGGTGTGGAGCGCGCAAGCGCAGGGCGTCGCACATGGGGGGGGGAGCGCTGGGTTGCCTGGCGGTCGGGACTAAGCGCGTTTGTGGGACGCAGGGCGGACTGGCGATGCTCAGGTTGGGCCATCACCACGACAACAGGGCCTGTGACAACCATCCTGTTTGACAGGGCCCGCTCAAACCCAGGCGCATGCCGAGCCGCGTGTCCCAGCAACCGTCCAATGGTGACCGCACGGATTCAGCCGCAGGCCAGGCTCACGGCGCGCCCTCGATGCATGCCCCGCGCACCAGGCCGGCGGCGAAGTGGGCGTCGACAGCAGCGGTCTGGCGGTCGGCTATCGTCCCGAGCGCCGCACTGCCGGTGCCCCTGGTCGCAGGCGGTGGTGTGAGGAGGGAGGGGCTGATTCAGGGCTGAATCGGGTGCACGGCACAGCGCCCGATGAGTAGCCACAAGGGGCTGCTGCTGCAGGTCATGGCGGGGGTCCAGCAGGCGCTGGGCTGCTCCCCACATTGCGGCGAGGAGGCATGTGTTTTCGCACACACATGAACACCCCGAGCAACTTTGACCGCCCGGAGGGAGTGGATAGGACCGAGGCACGACGCCGAGGGTGCAGCATACATCACAATGCAGCTGTTGTTGTTTATGGCTCGCGCGCAGGCTTGCGTCACATGCGCAACTGCTGCCAGCATGCACGCATATATACGCACGTGCGCGCATGCACGCACGCATGCATGCGCATGCATGCGCACGTTCGCATGCGCCAACCACCCCACCCGCTTACACACACATGCGTGCACAGGCCTGCCCACACCTCCTCGCGCACCAGTAATCGTCCGGATCTTCCTGCAGCACCGCCCTCGCCCGGCCGCCGGGCATGCTGTTGAACAGATCGTACGTCCGCGCCTTGCCGCTCTTAAAGTCCGTCATCTCGAAGCCCTTGCTCCCCCTCAGCCCCGTGTTGATTACGACGCGCCCCGAGTACAGGCCGATGCCGTTCCCGACGGTGGGCGTCGCCGTCTGAAGGCGGTCAAACGTGGAGATGACCTCGCCGCTGGCGGCGTCGACGATCACCCGAAGGCTGCGGGGCTCGCCGCCCGGCCGCGGGGCCAGGAAGACCGACTGGACGAACGCTGGCGCGCAGGGGCGGTCGCGGAAGCAGGCGGCGACGAGCTCCGGCGGGCGCGCGAACGGGCCGCTGCTCGTGGGGCCCTGCGCGTCGCCTGAGGCCGCAGAGGCCGCGGAGGCCGGCAGGCCGCCGGGCGCGCCGGCGTCGCCGGCGGCGGCGGCGGCGGTGAGGGCGGCCGCGACGTCCGGGGCCGCGTCGGGCGCGGACGCGAGCGC